CTCCCGTGCGTTCTCGGCAAGTCCGGACTCGCAGAGAACATGAGTACGGACTCGTGTACTTCAGAATTGAGAAAGGGCCATGGTAAACTACTTTATTCTTCCTCAGCCAATCAGAAGCACTCGTGTGATTGTTTGCCCTTTTTGTAATTTTTAGATGCCACTGCAAAGAAGAAAGTATGTGATGGAAATGAAGACATACAGAATCTGCAAAACCAGTACACTGACACATCACAGCTCAGAGTTACTAACATGGTGTACAAGGCCGTCTATGCAGTAGCACATGCCATCCATAATGCAGTGTGCCAGGAAATAAATGGCACTGCAAACTGTGACAAGTTAACCAAGTTAGAGTCCAAACAGGTCAGAAGAAATAAATATGTTGATGCCAGTGTCTTTCATCAACTGCAATATGAGTTGATATGTAATATTAATATTTGTTATTGGAATATTGCACAATTTTTTTTCCTTTCCCCTCCCATTATACCTAATTTCGTCTTTTCAGATTTTAATTGAGCTGAAGAAAGTAAAAATTTCCCGAAATGGCTATGATGTGTCATTTGATGCTAATGGGGATCCTGTGGCTATTTATGAACTGGTTAACTGGCAGAAAAGTGAAAACGGCATGACTGAGATAGTGGCTGTAGGGCTGTACGATGCATCACGGCCCGTGGGCCAGGAATTCCAGATCGACAAAAACATTACCTGGATGGAGGATAGCATGAAAGTAAGCAGTCAAACTTAAGTAAACAATGATTACAGCTGCATAGTAAATATTTACATTTATTATATAACCTTTCTGTCTTTGACAGGTGCCAGTGTCAGTGTGCACGGACAGTTGTCCTCCAGGAACTCGTAAAGTGTTACAGAAAGGAAAACCCATCTGCTGCTATGACTGTATAGCATGTCCTGAGGGGGAGATCAGTAATAGCACAGGTAAAGAGAAATGATTGCCATGCATTTAAAATGTTTCATTGTGTATATATGAAAATCAAGAAAATGTTGTATTTATTTGTTTTTTATCCAGATTCGACTGATTGTTTACCTTGTCAAAAAGAATTCTGGCCAAACGCAAAGAGAGACACTTGCATCCCTAAGCCTGTAGAGTATCTTTCCTTTCAAGACCTCCTAGGAATTATCCTGGCTACATTCTCAGTTCTTGGTGCCTGTCTGACCATTATAATTGCGGCTGTATTCGTTTGTCACAGGAAAACTCCAATTGTCAGGGCCAACAACTCTGAGCTGAGCTTCCTGCTGCTCATCTCACTGACTCTGTGTTTCTTATGTTCATTAACTTTCATTGGAGCACCATCTGAGTGGTCCTGCATGCTGCGTCACACTGCATTTGGGATCACCTTTGTACTCTGTATCTCCTGTGTACTTGGGAAAACTATAGTGGTTTTAATGGCTTTTAAAGTGACACTTCCAGGTAGTAATGTCATGAAATGGTTTGGTCCTCCACAGCAAAGAATGACTGTTGTGTCTTTCACCTTTATTCAAGTTTTAATATGTACTGTTTGGATAGTAGTGAGCCCTCCCTTTCCAATAAAAAATCTAACCATGTACAAGGAGAAAATCATATTGGAATGTGCATTAGGCTCTGCTGCTGGCTTCTGGGCTGTGCTTGGATACTTAGGCATACTGGCTGCCTTTTGCTTTGTTTTAGCAGTCTTAGCCCGCAAATTACCTGATAATTTCAATGAAGCCAAGTTTATCACCTTCAGCATGTTGATATTCTGTACTGTCTGGATCACATTTATCCCAGCATATGTCAGCTCCCCTGGGAAATTCACTGTAGTTGTGGAGATTTTTGCAATTCTGGCCTCCAGCTTTGGTCTAATAATGTGTATATTTGCTCCCAAGTGTTTTATCATATTGTTCAAGCCTGAGAAGAACACCAAAAAATATTTAATGAACAAAAATCAATCATAGTGTATCAGAGCTTCTAGTACTTGCAATTATTGCAACATTAAGCTGGAATTGTACAAATTCAATGCAAAAACAAAAGTTTTCAAAAAAAAATTTTATTTCAAAAATCTCTTTATTTACAACTTTTTTCTGTTAAATAGTTTGAAATTTTACTTTTGAAGATAAGCTTTTTAAAATTATTATTTTTTATTTGTTTTTTGGTTTATTCAATCCAATAATATTTAATTTGGAGTAAAGTAAATAAACAGAAAACCACCTTTCACAATAACACAACATGATTCCGAGTTATTTTTCAATAGTTTTCAATTCCCCCAAGCCCCCACCAGAAAACTGGAACTCAACAAAAAGAACCAGCCATCAAAATTTCTGCATTCCATTATACTTAGTAATAAAAAACATGTATTAATAAAGGGCAATTTAAAGCTGCCATCCATCCACCATCAATCCATCTTCTTCCGCTGTATCTGGGACCAGGTTGTGGGGGCAGCAGCCTAAGTAGA